TGCATCAACAACTAAAGTAATGTAATAGCTATACAAGTATATAAATATGTACAATAATTCGGTACTGAAATAATAACCCTAAGGTGTTTGTCAAGCAACACAATTAAACTAACTATATCAAAGTAGCCCAAAAGGTTGACACTATCATCATCCAACATAGCCTCAAAACAACTCCACCTCCAACCTATTTTTGCTTTACTTTCATATAAATATGATCATCGTAATCCATCTATAAGGAAATATACAAAAATAAGCTAATATTCAAAAAATAGCCAACATATCAAGTATAGAAGTAAATTGCAACTATACTACCAACATAAACAACTCAACTACACCACACAACCAATTCTCAACATACAACACTATCATATAACTGTCACATATCAACATGGTATATGAATACAACAACACACCATTCAATAAGAAAAATACCACAACATGGAAACTTATCCACATATTAACATACACATGCATCACACAACTCAACAACCAATGCACAACAATTCAACTATATGTGTCGTCATGCATTTAACTAAGAGTCTCTTACAATACAGGTGAATAATCTAAGTGATTTGACCCTATCAAACCAACAACAACGCGATCTTTTTGCACTTGCTAGATCAACAACTAATTTGGGTAAAAATCCATAATAACATGGTTTCTTGGGTTTTTCTACTTAAACTAGAAAAGTCTAGTATTCCTATTAGGGTAGAACAACTTGGGTGAGCCTACCACAACGTTAGCATAACTAAGCCTCCTATGAGATTAGCTCACCAAATGCCCTCCAAATAATATACCTCTTCCAGTACTCAATTAGTGAATTTTGGCCCTCAACCTTGTACCTTACTCGATTTTGTTCATTTTGTACAGGTATGACTCAACCTGACCCCATATGGATCAACATTGGTCACTTTATAATCATTATAATTTGATCTGACCCTTATATTGTGGTCACTTATATATAATATGAGTCGACCTTGTCCCATACCACATCAACTAGAATTTTTTACTAAAATAATATTTTTTTAAAAAAAATTTACCAAAAAAGCATTTGTACAACTTTATTCACCCAAATAGAACCTTTTACCGTTCATGTTCAGAATTCGATTCCCGGGGAACCGAATTCTGAACTTCAAATTTATTTTTTTTAGCTCAGAATTCGGTTCCCGAGAAACCGAATTCTGAGAAGTGTTTAAATTTTTTTTTCTTTTCTGTTTGTAGTTCGGGTTGTGGGTAAATATTGCAACCGGAACAACCCGTTCTCCAAGCAGAACGGGTCGTTCTGCTTGCACGAATAATCTGTTATTTTTGAAACTGGAACGCACAAGCAGAACGACCCGTTTTGATGCATTAGTCATGTGTGTATTTTTGCATCCGGAACGGCCCATTCTCCTTTCAGAACAGCCCGTTCTGCAAGGAGAACGGTCCGTTCTCCATTCAGAACGGGCCGTTCCGGTTCCAGTTTTATACCATTCTCAAGTCCAAAAACGCAAAAAAAAAAAATAAAAAAAAAATTAATAGCTTAGAATTCGGTTCCCCGGGAACCGAATTCTGAACGTGAACAGTAAAAGGTTCTATTTGGGTAAATAAAGTGGTACAGATGCTTTTTTGGTAAATTTTTTTTTAAAAAAAATTATTTTAGTAAAAAATTCCATCAACTAAGGTCATAAAAGGGATTCAACTATTCACTTCAAGAGTCAACTTCTCAATAAGGATTTTCAACAAACTCACAAATTTTGCTCTAGCCTATGTCACGTTTGACGCGATGGTAAATTATGCACTCAACAAACTCACAAATTTTGCTCAATCCCACCTAAAATCCAAACAATACCAACATGCAAGGTACTAAACAACATATAAACACCACCAACAATTCATATCCAATCAGAACTTCAACATGCAACAACAAAAGACTCCAATTCGTCAAATTCTCTTAACATGGAAACAAAACAACAAAAAACCACTATACATATAATATTCCAATTCATGAATCTAGACACAATTTCATGAAATCAACCACACATGACTCCACAATTCATTAAGAATAAAAAGTTCTAGTTTCCTTTACCTTTAGATTGAAGAGAAAAGAGGAAGAAAGAATAAAAAACTCTACACGACACTACAAGCTCTGATTCTTGGCTCTGCACCTGAATCAACAACATACTCACTCAAGTTCTCCAAGGAAGAATTTTAATTACATGCTTAACAGACTCAAAAGAAGAAAAAAAATCTCTTTAACTCCAAAATGTATCTCTGTAATTTTTCTTTAACTTTCTTAAAAACTAAACTTATGAAATTCATTTCCTAAAAATGACCTTATAATATATCTTTTCTCTATTGGTCAAACTTAATCTCTATCTAAAAAACTTCCTAAACGACTAAAACTTTCAAAAATTCCTAAAATCTCATAATTTCTCGACATATAAACAATAAATCATCACAACAAAATATATTTTAATACATTCAACAATAATAGAATATACACAATGCTACACGAGAAATCGGAATTGAGATACAAATAACTAATGGTATTGAGTCTAACGTAAGGAAAAATGTCTCGAAACAAACAAGATTCAAATCTTTGTTAATAGTGGTATTTATATTTAGAGTGTGTTTGGATGGAGAATTTAAATGGAGTAATTCATTTATTTGAAGAATTTCAAATTCTTTGAGGTGAAATACCTTGTTTGGATAGAGAATTTATAAGGAATTTGAAATTCAAGCATTTTTGAAATTCTTTGAAGTAATAGAATTTCAAATTCTCCCAAAAAAGTAAGAATTTGAAATTCTTTGTATTTTTTTCTTCTTATTTCACTTATATATTTTATCTTATCTCTTATCTCTTCATGTTTTTAATTATTGAATATTCAAAAATATTTTTAAAATTATTAAATATTATCTAATATTAAAATCAAAGTAATTTAAATACTAAGAATTTAAAATTCCTTGAATTTGTAAATTTCCTCATCCAAACACACCATTAAGATTTAAAATCGAATTGTTTTGAGAAAGACGATAGTAGTAGGAAAAAGGAAAACATATTCGGTCTCTTTGTTTAAATTTGGTTTTAAATACAATAAAAAAAATTTAAATGTTTTTTAATAAAATAAACATTTTTATTTTTTTTAATGTATTTATCTAAACTGGTTATTTTAAAAATAAACATTTTTCAGTTTTTTTTAAGAAACAAATTTTATCTACTTAAAAAAATACTTTTTATAATATTTTTTAAGTTTAAACAAGCCATTATATAAATACGTTTACTCCTTTTACAAAATGTAGAATTGTATCAAGTAATTTCAATTTATTAATTAGAACTTAGAAGCATCACCTAAGTCTTTAAATAGAAAGCTTTTGAACTTCTTTAAAAATTATAACCATACTGGTACTTCAATGTATTCAACTCACTATTCAGCATAAGAACTTGTTTGGTTTTGAAAAAGAAATTAATTTACTGTGAAATGATATTTTATTTTTGTTATTTTGAGATGTTATTTAATTTATCCTGTTTTTAATGTTCCTTATATAAACGTTTTAAAAAAGAGTGAAAAAAAAAAACTTTTCTTAATTATTTAAAAAATGACAAAAAATGAAATATGAAGAGGATGATGAAATTAAGTTATGGTTTATAGTCTACCCACCAAAAGTGGTATATATATTATATAGGAAACATAATTTAGATAGAAAAGAAGGCATAGTTATTATATTTGACATCCTACCATCAATCTAATTCAAATCTAACGTTTATATTTAACATAAAGTATAAACATAATATTATTCTTGTTCCTTTATAATAGTCATTTAAAATTATTTTATACAAATTAAGAAATAAAATAATTTTTTTATTTTTCATAAAATAATTTAGATGTTTCCTATTATATCTTTATCATTTTTACTTTATAATAAATGTATATTAATTGTGATGAGTAAATTAATTAAAATTTAGATAAAATGTAAGGGATATAATTAATAATATAATAATTGATATTATCTTAAAATTGAAATGAGAAATAAATAAAAATAAAATTTTACTAAAAATTGAATAAATAAAAAAGACGGAGAGAGTAATACATTGATGGTAGACGCGCTGAGCCATGTTCCATGCATGTCACCACCTCATAATATTTAACAAATAATAAGGTAAAGCCGCCTCATAAAAACACGTGCCCTTGTCTTGTATATTGTACCACCAGTTCTGTACTTCATTTCAACCACATTCTATACACATATGATACTGTAGCAAGAACAGCACATACTAATGAGATTGCTACCTTCATTTTAATGGTTATGGTACACTGTTTGATCAAATAACAATGATATTAATGATGGCTTTTAAAATGATGATATATTTAGACAGATTTAATTGTCATATGCAAACATTGTCTACCAATCAAAATTTAATTCAGTATTAATGAGTTTTTAGATAGTTACTGAGTTGAAAATAATATAAAATAATTTTGCACAAATAAGCCATAACCTAATTTCTCATATTCTGACATGAAATGTTAATTAATGTTTTTCAGAAGAATGAGAGAATATTTCTCTTTAACGCCAAAACCAGTCAAGTCAACCTGGATCGGCTTCTGCCTAATGGCTAATGTCATGCCCTACAAATAGTAAACCCGTGATGCGCATGAAATTCCTTCTTTTCATCCACTTTTTCTAACACTAATTAAATTGCATCAAATGTTTAAGATGTAAGTAATGATTCAACTCTAGCTTAGACGTAAAAACTTGGCTTTTTCATAACTCATACACACACCGCTAGGGCTGCGTAACTATAAAAAAAGCATTAACAGTTTAACGGAAACTATAAATTTTTGTTTTGATGGATTAGGATTGTTTTTTTCTTTTGCTTTAAAAAGTGAGTAATATCAGTTTGTAATGTAAAACAGACCTGTCATTGTTTGACATGAAAGTTTATGAAAAATTAAAGGCATTATCAAAGCTGGTGAAGTCTACCTGCGCATATATAAATCAACTATAAAGACAAAAAAAAATCTTCAACAAAATTAATAAATAAATAAATAAATGATAGATGTTTCCATACAAGCACATTTTGGTGTATTGGAAGTAAAATAAGAAAATGGGTAACCCCTATATTTCCTTTTTCTCCTTTGGAAGTGAAACACTTCCGCTTGTCATGAAATGATGAAACACAAACAATTTGCTAAAACAATGTTGTGATTGAGAACCCATGATTGTATGTACAAAGTCAGTAGTTGACCCTTTAGATCCCTAAAATCATCATGTAATGTAGCTTGCTTTCATTCTGATACAAAATTGAGCATTCCCCCCTGCCCTGCCCTGCCTTGTCTTATCCATTCGCTCCATGGCAATTATCTGTCTGCAGTCTTCCCCCAACACATCCAGTTTTGTGCACAAATTTGTAATAACCAAACACCAGCATTTCAACAAAGTAGGGTGGTTTATCCCCATAACATGCTCCTCTCCCCTTCCAAGACTGACAATCTTGTGGCTCATACAGCTTCGCCGAAAGCCCCAATATTGCGGCCGGAGAGCTTTCAGCAGCGGGAGATCACAGGATGAAGGAATCAAACAGTCCACAAATCTCCCCGTGATGCAGAAGAATCTGCAGATAAGGAATGGTTATACGTCTCTCTTTCCCATGGTTCCAGATGAGTTCTGCTTCTTCTGTATACCATACTGCCAGGCATCTCTGGATTTGTCACCCCCATGATCAAAATCATCCAAGGAATTCTCCATTGAAAACCGTGTTGGTCGATGGTTCCCATTTCTGGAGCCAACTGGAGGAGCACCCATATTATCATCATCTTCAGATGGTGGTGCACCCAACCTGGATTCCATATGCATGTCCATTGATCTATATCTTGGTCCACCTGATCTCATGCCCCTCATATTTGAGGCAGGCTTACCAGGCAATGATGAGTAAACAGGTCCCTTGGCCACAAGAAATTCCTTGGGAAGAGAGTCCATGTCCATATAGCAATTTCGAGATTTTGCATCATTGATCAATGCAGCCCAATCTTCAGATTGCACCAGAGCATTTGCATTTCCCATGACCTGCCAATGATAGCAAACTATAGGTATCAACCAAGAAATGCAATTTGGCCATTTAATAAACAAAAATTCATCACTAAATAATGCATTAGAAAGATATCCATACCCAAAGGGCCCTTCGTGCACGCGTAAGGGCAACATTCATTCGTCGTATATCTGCAACAAAGCCAACCCCATGACTGGATGCACGCACACAAGACATTATAATGACATCCCGTTCTTGACCTTGGAAGGCATCTACTGTGTTGATATATATATCCTTCCCTTCTTCTGAATTTAAGACTTCCTCAAACTCGCGCTGGAGGCATTTCAACTGCAGCTTATAAGGAGTTATTATGCCAACAGTAATCTTTCCTACGCCCAAAGACTTCACTGCTTTCTGAACATGCTCATACAGTCGGAGACAAAATTGTGCTTCATGTATGTTTTGGTAAGATACTGATCCACCTCTGTGAGACTCACGCCCATGTCTGATATCATAGAATAAATAAGGTCTTAGTAAAGGGTCTTTGTAGTATGGCTCATCAGGCAATTTAGCCACACTTTCACTATCAGTAAGACGCCCCTGATAGAAGTACCTAGAAGGGAAATCCCGAATTTGGGGATGCATTCTATATTGCACAGACAACAACATTGTCGGGCATCCTGCTTGTTGGAACCTTTCAAAAAGACTCCTACTATACATCAATGTTCCAGCCGCCTTGCTTATAACGGTGGCAGGAAGCTGCTGAGGATCTCCAACAAGAACACATCGTGCGGCACCAAGAGAGAGGGGAGGCAGAACTGCAACCTCACTGGCTTGGGCTGCCTCATCAATGACCACCATATCAAAACCATGGGAAAGACGAGAAAACAACTTGCGGCCACTGCTAGAAACTGTTGTGAAAACTATCTCGGCTTCATTTGCAAAACTGGCCTCCAAACTAGCCCGAGCCTCTTCCAAATTAAAACCACTACCAGGACGGAACCTACTTTCCAGAAGGGCAAGGCGAGACATCTCAACCAGAATCTTGTCCCTGTTTTCAACAGCAGCAGCAAGGTTCTGTAGCAAAGTATCTCGATTCTGATCTCGGGCTATAAGAAGGTCAGGATCAACACCAACAGATCCTTGAGAACGAACAGCAGCAGCAGCAGCATTTAGTTCTCTGTGAAGACAATGTAACTGCTGAGTCAACTGTGCTTCACGATTCTTTAACTGGTGCATCCATCCCATAACTTCTTCCCTAGTCTTGACAAGAAGCTGTTCAGTTCTACGCTCTACAGAAACTGCTTGGGCAGCACGTGTCTGAGAATCGACCCCAACTCTAGCTACATCAGGTCGATATACTTTCATCTCCCCATCAATAAACCCACGATCAAGAACACGAGCAAGAAGCTCATCAGTGGCAGCATTAGACGGAGCACAAACTAACATTCTAGGTTTTGGGACCAGTTTAGGTAAAGTTCGTAAGAGATTCTGGTCCATGTTTTGAAGAACTTCATCAATAGAACCAGTGGGGGCATGCTCTGAACTGATATCATTGAGCTTGTAGCTCTCAGGTGCTACATGCTTAAGTAAAGAGGTGTAGTAGTGCTGATACTGAACAAGGTGAATGACATTCAACATTCCCCATACTGTATGTGTTTTTCCTGTTCCTGGGGGTCCTTGAACAAGGGTAAATGGCCAGGGTTCTTGCCTCTTTGTTGTCCCACTACTTGTACCAGCAGCTGTATGCATTGCTGCCCATTGGATTGCAGCCAACTGGGGTTCATTGAAGGTCCTACGCAAATACTCAACAAAGTTCTGTGTGAAGCATTCAGGCATCGTTGGGGTATGTTGCTCATATTTAGGGAAGTGTTCGGGACTAGGCTGAAGGATTGCAGTTTGCATCTGTAAAGTAAGAAAGTAGTCAGAATTGAAATTCACTGACACTACCTACCTTTATATCATGTAAGTTTCAGCATATACCTGCAAATTTAAGCGACGAAATGCATGAAGGGCGACATACTCCCTCTGTGTGGTAGCAAGAGAACCAAGCACTGTGAGATACCAGATGCTTCCACTTTGTAGTTTCCTTATGATATGATCATCATCAACCCTACAGGAAAGAACATTTTATCTGAGTTTAACATTGGAACCAAGAAAGTAGATATCAAAACAACCATTGAAAGGTGCCTTTAATGGGAAAATTTGAACAAACACTTGCCTGCTAGGATCATAAGAGTCTCCAACATAGTAATGTAGAATTGCACCAGGAGGATCTCGAGTATCAATGGGTATGTGACGCCTAACAGTACCAACCACACGTCCAGTGATTTCTGATTCCCCATCATCCTGAGCTAAAGATGAACTGTTCTGCTTGGATCTGACTGCTTGCATAATGAAACTATTCAACCCAATTGAACTGCAAAAACATTAAAACAAATGATCTAGTACTAGATATTTAACAACATACCTGATCCAGGCCTAGGGGATGAAAGGATTGCAACATCACCCTCCTTAAATGACCATTTGAACTCGTGTACCGGAAGGACTTTCACATCATACCAACCTAAGAAAGAGATTCAGATAAATTAAACCCACAAATTCACAAAAACAAAGGAAATAAGCACCAAAGTAAAGGACTATATGTTTGTTGAAGTTGCAGGGACAAAACAAGAAATACAGTGGTTACAGTAAGGCTCGAGTACAGAGAAAATTACAAGCACAAGAAGGGAAAATTAAATTCCATAAACTTGGGAGACAAAGTTTCCATTATACAGGTGGAATGTTTACATTAATGCAATAAGTAGCAGCCAACAGCACAGTCAAATTGTTGAGCAAAAAAAATTGTATATGCATATATCTAATATAAAACAAGCATGAAAACGAGTACCTCTTTCTCTTGACTCATTTGCCTTCACTCGCACCATAATATGTGTATCCCTTGACACTGTTTCTGTTGATTCTTCCCAGGTACTGTAAAGTTGAGCCCGACATTCCTCAAAAAGCAAAGGCTCAAATACTCTAACATACTCTTCCACTGATTCAAACCGTCCAGGAACACACTGTAGCTCGGTCTCCTCTGAATCACAGGATCTTCAATCAGTTACCAAATACCAATAAGAATAAATAAACAATAAATAAAACTTCAAAAGCGAACTAAAGGATATATTGCTACTGACTCAATTAAAGGGGCAAATTACCAAAGAAGTAACCATCAATTAATTTACTAGAAGCAAATACATTCAAGCTTATATCTGCTGGTATATATTACATAAAGCATTAACCAACAAATATCAGGAACTAGCTATTTGAAACCATAATTAATATATAATAGATTTTTCCAAACGGATTCTTTTTCACCATGCAATCACATGAATAGCTACACACTTAACCTCTGGTTATAAGTATGTATTTTGTCATCGTTTCTACCCATGATATCTGGTATATATTACATAAAGCATTAACCAACAAATATCAGGAACTAGCTATTTGAAACCATAATTAATATATAATAGATTTTTCCAAACGGATTCTTTTTCACCATGCAATCACATGAATAGCTACACACTTAACCTCTGGTTATAAGTATGTATTTTGTCATCGTTTCTACCCATGATATCTGGTATATATTACATAAAGCATTAACCAACAAATATCAGGAACTAGCTATTTGAAACCATAATTAATATATAATAGATTTTTCCAAACGGATTCTTTTTCACCATGCAATCACATGAATAGCTACACACTTAACCTCTGGTTATAAGTATGTATTTTGTCATCGTTTCTACCCATGATATCTGGTATATATTACATAAAGCATTAACCAACAAATATCAGGAACTAGCTATTTGAAACCATAATTAATATATAATAGATTTTTCCAAACGGATTCTTTTTCACCATGCAATCACATGAATAGCTACACACTTAACCTCTGGTTATAAGTATGTATTTTGTCATCGTTTCTACCCATGATATCCCCAGTAATCTATTTTATTTTTTTCAAGCTCTTAGTCAAGGTTTCTTGCATTTGCCTGTTCAGACCATCATAAACAGTTTGGTACTTAGTGCCATCTATATTTTTAGAATTGATGCAAACCCGATCCCTTGGGTATAAGTCTTCAAATCGTAACTATCTTTCATGCCAATCCAAAAAGGTAAGGCATCTTTACAAAACTTATCCCTTGTGATCATAATAATAATTATCATCTGAGAGAAATCTTCCAAAATTTTATTAAAGAATAACAGAAGGTGCATATAAAATGCAAAATTATATAACTACATTCAAATTGTTCAGTGCACCATTCTACAATAATCTATATTGTTGAAAACTGTAAAAAAAATTGAGATGACATGAATAAATATTTTGCATTACAAACATATATTCATAAAATCCAAATCTCAGGAAACAAATAAGCATAGAAAACTTAGTGAAAGAGGGCAGATAATAGTTAGTATACTAAATTGAAGTAAATCTCCAGGTTGCCCTTCCACCTGTTATCTTTCGATCTTTCTCAAGAAACAATCCAACTTGAGAACCATAACACAAAAGAGGCATATGATGGTGACTGGATTACATAAAGAATTCATGTAAACCAGGGGAAGCTATCAAATCAATATCAAATTTCATTCCAAAAACAACTGTCATCACCTTTGCATGTCTCTCCAGTGTTATGACTCTCACAGTGTGATAACTGGAGGAAGGGAGCAACAAGATGAGAAATCAGAATCAACTAAAGTGCCAAGAAAAAAAAGAAAAAAAAAAGAAATTCAAAACAAACGAGATCATATAGCTTATCAATAACATTATTTATCTGTGCTAATGGTAATAATACAATCACTTGATACCTGGGTGGTGCCAAAACTTTTCACTGGTCACCTCCCGTATAAGGCGTTCAACAGATGTGTCCTGGGACTGGCTGCTGATAGGAGTCTGCTTCTTGATAGAAAGATGTTTCTTGTTTCCTAATTTGATATCACTGGAGCTTTGACCACTCTGTCCCAACTTCCTATTAGAATGGAGTGCATTCTTCTGCTGCCTTGAATCTGTCAGTTGTTTCCAAGAACCCTGTCTTGGAATAGGTGGCAAATTAGACTCTGTAGAAGGTTCTGTCTCACTATTTAGCCTCCTAGTTCTGACAAGTGGTCCAGAAGTATCACCATTACAATCAGATTTTGGTTCATGTGCTTCAGCATGGTTGCCACCTTCACCAGAAGATGTGTCAGTAAGCTTATGATCCTTGGATATTCCGACACGCTCAACTTGTGCAGGAACAGTGCGAACTTCCTTTATGGTACGACTTATGATGGGTGATGAGAAAGTCTGCCTTCTAGGGGTTGAGGTTTTAATAGGACCAGCTTGCTTGACATCTTCCAAGTTAAGAAACATGGTCTGTCTATTCCGTTTCTTTCCCAACATTTCCTCTTTACGTTGGTCAATCTTCCTCTTCCCAGGATTATTTGCACACCTAAGTGCATGACTTGCTTCAATACCTTTCACTTCTTTTTGCTTGGGAATTAAAGTGGGTTCCTCCTGTGCATCAATAGAAGCTTCACTTTTTACATTGCTATCTGAATTTGGAATACTATTGCTTTTCTGTTCACTAGGATTTGATTCTACACCTATAGAAGCATGGCTACTCTTTTCATCATTTATACTATCAGAACTCTTAATATTTCTAGACTTACTGTCAGAAGCCACTGCAACACCCCCATCCACCATTCCAGATGTTACAGGCTCTTCTGATGATGCTTGACTTCGCTGTGCCAAATTATTGCCTCCATTTGCATTAGCATTATTACCTCCATTAGCATTTGTAAAGCCCTCCTCATCAGACCATTCCCCTTCTTCCCTCTCCATAGATTGAGGATTTGTCAAACTTAATATCCGTGAATCTGTAACTTTAACATCTTCATCTTTACTTGACTTAGAGGAAACCTTTGCATCTTGATCTCCTGCTCTCTTTGATTCAGCATCCGATTCAGGGACACCAGTGGATTTTGGCCGAACAAAAGGTTGAAATCCAGAGACAGATGACGCATGTGAAAAAGCATGATTATTTATTATTCCTTGGGCAGCAGTTGATGTTGCAAATAAGTCAGACGCATGGGGATTGGTTGATGGGAGCATCTTTTGGGGCTGGATACAGACAATACCCTCCCTGTCGTTATCCCTATCATCATTATCCTCTGCAGGTGGCTCATTGAGATCAAATAACAGCCTTCCTCGAGAACCCATCTCATATGCATAAGGATACAAACTAAATACTGAATAAATCGTTGCACAGATACGTTGCTTCTACTCTTTTCAAGAGACAATATCCATGACATGCCCACAATGACGACAGGCTGCAGGGACCTGCAAGTGAGGGTAAAAAGGGCCCATAGGGCACGAGGTATGAATTATACCATCTCAGAATGTCGGTAACAATCAGCAACATATGAATTTACCCAACAAATCACAGCACATACAATTTTGAATTCAATATAGCCCTAGACAATGGCAGGAATCTGTATCTTTCAGCTACCCCAAACCCAAACACACAATTATTATACAAACAAACAGAATGAAATCCAAAATTCCCCTATACCGCCAAACTGCTTAATAGTATAGGTTGTTCACTGTTAGTATAATTGCTGATCAAGAATAAACAATCAAACGAAATCAATGCACAACACTAAAAGACAGTCAGAAACCCCTAATAGCAAATCAAAACCTAACACCAGAAACAACTTGAATACAAAACTAACACTGATAACTCCCAAAGCCAATCTTCAACCAACCACCCAATGCTCATACACGCCAATCCACCAAGCAAAAACCATCCTTTCAACAATCAATCAGATGACAAGACACAGAACCCAATCTCAATAACACCAATGAGACACAGCACAAACAACAGTCCTCAACTCACATCATCCAGATCAAAAAATCACTAATTATCCCCCAAACCCCAAATCAAAACACTTACCAGCACAGAACCACAAAACTCCAGCCCACCCAGTGACCTAACCAGCATATCTAGGGTTTCAATAACCAAAACGAAGTCAGTCCCTTTATCAACACCCCATCCACCAAGATTCCAAATTCCCACACACACCCTTCACCAAGATCTTATCCCCACAAACATCCCACGTTTGTCCATTCTCCCCAATCAGAAAACACCACACAAATAATGCACAAATCTACACAACAGTCAACACCCTCTTCCTCATTCAGTATCACCATCATCATTAACTGATTCTCTATCTCCCAGATTTCCCACCACTGAAATTATCAACGACCCACCACCCCAAAAATTAAATAAATTAAAAAAATCAAAAATTAAATTAAATTAGTCCTGGAGAGAGAATTTTACCTCTTCTCACTCCGCACAGAAGGGGGCGGATATAGAGAGAGAAAGAGAAAGTGAAAAAAGAGACCGCGGTAGAGAGAGAAAGATAGAAGAGGGTCGCTCTAATAGGTGCAAGTTAGAGAGAGAAAGAGAAATTGAAGAGAGAGACAAATAGAATGCAATTTGATGAGGGAA